ATGAACTCTCTCCATCTCCACTGCTTCCATGCACTTCTCTTGCCTAGAGCACTGCAAGTGACCTTCAACTTTGTCCCTTCCTCTCCCAATCCATTTGCCACACAAAAGGCAGAGGGGTATTTGAAAAGTGTAAGTCATATTGCCTTTCTCCCTACTCTTTTTTTCTTTAAATTATAGATTCACCGGAAGTTGCAAATAATGTACAAGAAGGTCCCACACACCCTTCTCTCAGCTTCCCCTCATGTAAACCTTTCAGTGACTTCATGTTGCTGTGGATAATGTCCAAAATCCTTAACCTGCCCTCCACAACCCTTGAGACCTGCCGCTGCCCCCACCGCTAACTAGCGCGCCTGACAGCAGCCTTGCTGTAGCTCCTCAACTGAGCAGGGATGCAGGCCTGCCTCGGGTCTCTGCTACTACACAGTTGTCCCTTCCTCCTTCTGCTCGTACTTTTCTTATTCAGTAATGTGACCCCTGCTTAGAGAGGCTTCCTTGTACATTCATCCCAAATGAGGACCCTTCACATTCTGGTTCACAGCTCCTATCCCCTTCGGCCATAGCCCTCGTCATTAGAATGCTTCTGTGTGTTTAACCGTTTGCGTCTGGCTCACCTGGAGATTCCAAGTACAGTGTTGCAAAAGCTTTGTCTATTTTGACTGTTACCCAAGCCAAGCCCAGTACCTGCACATAACAGGTACATCAGATTGCTTTACAGTACTACTCACATGTTAGTTCTGTTTCTGTCATTAAGAAAGAAACTGGATCATGCTGAGACCTCTCTGAATTCCAGTCTTTTCCCTCTGTTTTCTCCCCACTCCAGTATCCATGAGCTTGTTCACCACTCAACCCAGTGACAGTAAGAGCACTTAATTTCCTCTTTAACTTCCCGTCGATAACAGATTGTGACTGGTAACTCATCTAGTGTACATTGAAACCTGCAAGTCTACTGATTAGGCTCCCAAGCACCAGCTTACTATAATAAAGACAGAGAAAAGATGTCATCTCTTGAAGAGAACCTGGAAAATGATTATTTCTGGCAGAAAATTTGTTTTGACTCATAGACTTACCCTTCAGAGTCATTCATGAATGAGTAATGAACTCAGGAAAGATCAATGATGCATGCTCTTAACCCTCTCAATCTATTCTGCTGAGAGCAGAATAAAAAGAAAGTTACAAGAGAAGATGATTTAGGAAGAGAAATACTGTTGCTGTAACGTACAAGTCTTAAGAAAACGAAAGTGGGCAATTCATCTAGTTTACTATGAGTAGTTTTTCAGGCTTCAATCATGAGTCACCTAAGTAATTTTTCTGTGCTGTTTAATTCCAATGTTTATTTATTTTATTATTTTCCAACAGTAAAATAAAATAAATAGTATGCAACTGCCAAAGTTTAATGCAGTAAAAAAAAAAGTTGGTGGTCTTTGCTCTGGCATATAACATAGAGTTTTAATGCCATAAGCTTTTTTTCCTCAAGGAGTTATTTAAAACATTTAATATATTCTCATCTCCTTTCTTGATGGATGATGAGCCATCTTCTGTTAAGTTTTTAATGATGGAGAATAACTACAAATTAAATAGCACAATCAAAAGCAGGCATTAAAAATAGTGGCCCAGGCAGTTGTGGGGACAGACTGCAGGGTGACTGGTTAGGTGCATGATGTCTAAACCTAGAAGGACCTCTTGGTCCCAGGGTCACGTCTCTCTGCTAAAGGAGAGCAGCCCTTGTTCCCAGCTTCAGCTCAGCTGGCATTAGAGGCCTCGCCCACATCCGTCCTATGGAGTTATTCTCAGCAGGTACTACCACCTGGGAAGCATCCATTCATAGGTATTCTAGTGATGGGCATCTGAGTTTTCTGTTGGGGGGTTGTTTTGCTTTGCTTTTGCTTCTCAAGTCATCTTCTTATAGATTGCATATCAACAAGCGCTGTGTTTTCCTTATCACAAAAGCCAGTGGGAAGTATTTGCAGGCAGGAGAGAAAGGAATCAAGACTTTTTAAAAAATGGACATCCAGGGCTGGGGGAAAATTCAGATGCCATGAGAGAGATTTCTGTTGAACTTCCAGTGGTATCTCCTGTGATTTTTGTTTTTCCAGGAAGAGTCCATCTCCAGTGCCTCCTACTGGGACGCTGTGGAGAGACTGTGCTAATAATGTGCGCCATTCCTCTGGGGAGTTCCAGACGCTTTTTTGTATACTTAGCCAAACAGAGTCAGGAGTAGAGAGTGAAGTTCTTTACAGGGATACCTTCCAACATGCAGGCCATCTTGCTGAGTGAGGAGAGACCCCCTTAGGAGACAAACCAGGGAACAGCGGTGGCTGCCTGGCACCAGCTGGGTGATCTGTGAATGTGCTCCTGGGGCGGCCCTCACAGAGGAAGGAGAGAGAGGAGGGGAAAGGATGTGCGTCCTCTGAGGTGTCCCGGGGGGAGCCGGGACTCCAGACCTTCCGCCAGCCTCTCACCTCTCCCCCCTGCCTCATTCCGCTCCCTCACGTGTCCCCATGAAGAGAAAGCACAGCACACATTCTTGTTTCCTGTCCTGAATGGATGACATGACCCTAGAACACCAGGACACTCAGGCTTTCACTCCCTGGAATCCAGGAAGGGAGGAAGGGGCAGTTGCCCCGTGGATTGTCCCCAGGACCTGGACCTCGACTGGCTCCCTCAGCATCCATTCAGGGAGGGTGAGGGTCATTTGAAAACCAAGGTCTGGGTTGAGGACCAGATTACAGGTCCATAATATAAATGAAAGGCAGAGCCTGTCCCAGGGCATAAGACTCTCCATCCCCAGTTCAACAGATGTGATGTTTTTTTCTGACTCACTGGGGCTGTGTCCCTTGTAGACTTATCTAAGTTTCTCATCTTATTTTCCGTTCCTGGTGCTCAGCCCCCGAGCTCATGTTCCCTGGGCTCTTCCTTTGAAATCTGCCTTTCATCCCTACTTTGCTGCAGTGTCTCCACGGAGACACCCTTGTCATTTTAAGGGGAGAGTTTCTGATCCTATGAGGGTCGCCCCTGACTTTTAAAAGCCATTAGCACCCTCAGGGCAGGCGCTAAATGCCAGTAGTGAACCCCTCATGAGTGTGACACAGAGAAACACCCCCAGCTCAATTCCGGACGCTCTTGGCACTGGGAGATGGGAGCCCAGGTGAGAACCACTGCTGGGCTCAGACAGGCCCTTCCTCTGCCATCTAGTCCGGGACCAGCAGCGCCTCCTCCCCCCGGGCCACAGTTCAGTGGGAAGGATCCCCTACGGGATGTATTCGTTGGCGTTTCCTCTGCAGATATCCCCAGAGCACCTGCTAACAACTGCACACACTGTTTGAGGATCTGTAGAACCCTGGTGGCTCAGACGGTAAAGAATCCGCCTGCAATGCAGGAGACCCAGGTTCAACCCCTGGGTCAGGAAGAGCCCCTGGAGAAGGAAATAAGAACCCACTCCAGTGTTCTTACCAGAGAATCCTGGTGGGCTACAGTCGGTGGGGTCACAAAGAGTCGGACACGACTGAGTGACTAAAGATCCACCAGCCATTAGTCATCACTCACGTCCGCCCCTTCATAGCTCTGTCCTACCTTCACCTTTTTTAAAAAATTATTTTTAATTGGAGAATAATCGCTTTACAGTATTGGGCTGGCTTCTGCCATGCAACAACAACCTTCACCATTTTATTTGCATGTTATCTCATCAGTGTCTGCAAGTCATCCCTGGACCTCCATTCTTACTCTCTGTCTGGAGGCTCAGCTTGTCCAGGACAGCGACCACTTCTTCTGCTTTTGCCTTTGTCCCCCTTAGCGCCCAGGGCAGTCATCTTCTGTGTGGTAGGAATTCAGTAAGTGTTGATCTGACTGATCCACAGATATGCTACTATCACCAAGGGTAGCTTTCATTTCTCTAATAGGGATAATGGTACTGATGTGTCCTTTTTTCTAATCTGAAGATTCTATTTTGTCTGCTTCCTGTGAAGAAGAAGAGCATGGGAGATGTTATTGTCTCTGATAAACAGTAAACTCTGACACCTGTTGGGTCAAAAGTGAAGACGGACCATGTACACTGCTTGTCTCCTGTGTGGACCCTGAGGAGGCCTTGGTCTTCGAGGCCACGCTTTGATCCCCTCCGCATGTGACTTCTCATCGGAGGAGACAGTGTGCTCTCTGCCTTCCATAGATTCAGGGGAAGGCAAGTGGGCAGAAAAAAGAACAGGCAAAGAGAAAGTGACTGGAAAACTGAGAGAATCTGAAGGAGCAATGGAGGCCTCCTTGTTTTCTTTTTTCTTTTAATTTTTCATTATGGAAATTTCAAAACACATACAAAATTTCCCAGAATACTGTAATATTCCCCCAATGAGCTCATCACCTAGCTTCAAGAGTCATCAACCCAAGGCTGTCTCGTTTCATTTATATGCCCACCCCCTCTCTCTCCCATCCGGCTATATTATTTTAAATCCCAACGTCATGTAATTACATTCATACATATTTCAATGTGAATCTCTGAAAGACTCTTTAGAAATTATGTTAACTGTGTCTAAAACATATCAATAATCACCTAATATCATCTCAAAGCCAGTCAGTGTTCCAATATCCAGTTGTGATGACTTTATCAATAAATCTGAAAACTTGGAGTAAAATTATATCTTCATTGGTAAAGTAACGGCAACAGAACCAAAACAGATCCTTTTCTTACAGGAAACTAGAATAAAATAGTGTTAAAAATGATTTCAGGAAGTAAAAATGAAATAGGTCTGACTGGTGCCATGTCCAACCTCCTCAAGCTCGCCCCCTGGTGGCAGGTGTGCCCAGCGGGTGGCTTCAGTTAACTTCAGAAATGTTCATTTCCTAATATTCCTAATAATACAAAAGGGTTCTCTACTGTGTTACTAGTAATTTCATATTTGGCCACCTGGCAAAAAATGTGGGTGACACAGGGTTTTTTTTTTTTAAGTATTGATTGAGCACATAATTTAAAAACGAGAATATTAAACAAACATCTCTGCCCTTTCTTCCAGCAGGCAGCCCAGAGAACGGCCCTCCACGCTCTGTCTGACAGGTACATTTTGTCATTTTTATGAACCATAAATTGCTTTATGAAACATTGAGCCCTATTTATTGTGGCATATAATTCATAATCGGATTTTGTCCCTAAAGTATCTGTGAACTGGGATGTTAAACATTTTGCATGCTTCGATTTGTCATGCATGTGTGGAGTTTATTACTGCAAAAATCGCCGTGTTGTATTTCATAGAAAGTATGGAGAAGCCCTCGTTGTGCAATGAAACAGGAGACAAGAAACATGGAAGGAAAGTCCTGAACGGTGCAGTAAATTCTGAAGTTTGGGATTGGTTGAGATCTGAGCTCATTTTTCAACAATAAGTACTTCATTTATTCTGGGGTGTTCTCTTCAGACATGTTCCCATATCACTTCCCCAGGAGCTGTCTGTCTTCTGATGAGATTCTCTCTCGAAATACTTTATGCGCGGAACCTAGTTCATAGTCCTCTGTGCCTGACTTTTTACCCCTCACTCTGGCTTGTCTTTTCTGACTTGTGTTATTGAATGAGATATGGAAGCCTAATCAGTAAACATAATCAAGCTGTATTTCACATCTTGCTTTGCCTATAAGGCTGTGTAAAGATAGTTGAGTGGGGATATTAATAAGTTACTTCCTAGAGTAGACTTGACCATTTATTGGTTTGGGTTGGTTTTTTATTTCTCATTTGCCAAGGGGTGTGTGTGTGTGTGTGTTTTAAAGAACTATCAGGTGGTAAAGACAAAGCCTTGTTTTCTTTCTTTCCACAAGTGATGTTCTTACAAAGTTAGAAAGACCTGGAGGAGACGTCCCACTCAGCAGGCTAGCAGACACCTTGGTATTGTCTAGCTACCATCACCCCACTCCTTTCCTTCCCAGTTCTTTCTTTCTTTTTTTTTTTTTTTTTTTGTGGAATGAGCTGTAATTGCCTGTGTAAACCAGCTCAGTTCAGTGCCTCTCCAAGGAAAAATCTGTCACTTAGGCGAATTATCCATGCACATAGATGAAAAGCATTTTCTCAGTGGTGGCAGGCTGAGCTGCAGTGTTGTGACTTCAGCTGAAAAGTCTTCCCCATGACAACCACACAAGCCTGTGTGCTCGAAGAGTGGCTGCCACGTCATCTTCTGGGGTTGCTTCTGTGACTTTTGCAAAAGCTGGTAACTGTACCACCTCTGAGTCTGTTGGTAGGAGGAGGAGAGAGACTGGATCAAAACACATTTAAAATCTGACACATTAATTCCTTTTCTCGACATGTTTCTTTTTTCTCTTTGACTATTCTTCTTAAGTGATTCCTTCAACAAAATACATTGAGAAGCAAGAGGAAGCCCACAATTTACAATGCTATGCCATTGCCAGTAGTGACAGGGTTTCTTTTTGGGATGATAAAAATCATGTAAAATTAGATTGTGGTGATGATTTCACAACCCGGTAAATATAATAAAAACAACCAAATTGCATGCTTTAAATGGGTGAACTTTATGGTATGTCAATTACATTTCAATAAAACGACTATAGAGACACAAAATCTGTTTATGGCCTTTGGTAGAATGAATCAAGAACTATTTTTTTAAAAGTATGGACTCCCTCTGAAGACATGGTTGTGTATACAAAGACAAGTTATCAGAAACTAGGACTGGTATATTCTAAGGCTTCTCCCCAAAAGACACATGACTCTGTCCTGGGTAAAAGATGGGTATGGACTTTCATGATGAGCAACACTAGTACCTTTGACATTTTCTGATCTTCTCAGAAACTTCTCCTGAAGCCCAATAATTAATTGACTTGTAAGTTAGAATCTTAGCCCTTGTTGTTATATAACCACTAAGTGCAGAAACTGTAAGGAAAAAAGTCCATTCCCTGGAAACAGAGCTTCCCATTGTCACCGCTCTTCTTACGAATTTCTCCATCTTCAGATGTAACTGAGCATTTCCCTCTAAATCCAGCAGTTTTCCTGTTCACAGTGCGAGGAACTCTGCCTTTCAAAGCAATGAGCTGACTCCACCTCCTGTTCTAGCAGCGCAGTCGTGTAAAGCTGCTCCTTTGAGTTTTTCCGGCTCTATGTTTTCTGTTAATTCAGGGCCACACAAGTACTTCCATGAGTGAGAAGTATCTGTAATTGTTGGCAGATACAGTCAAAAAACCCTTCTTCAAAATAAGGACTTGTAACACCTACTGAATTAACTGGACTCATGTTTTCCAGTTTCTTACGTTAGAGAATGCTAGCTTATCACATGGCAGATGTCATTTTCTGTCACGTTACGTCTTCTGTGGAATAAACTAGCCTTTTCTAGAAAATGGGAAATGTGACTCTGGGTCCAGCTGCTGTATGACTTGCCTAGAATTCTTTTGTCACAGAACTGCCTCAGGGTGGGAATGGAATTGAGTAAAAATCCCCCCAAAACCCCAGGCTGTGACCTTCCCAAAGTAGAGGTCTAAACCCATACCTCAGACTCCTTACGGCCTGGTGGTGATCTTTTCTACATCCATTCACACAAACTATTCTGGTTTCCTAAACTTTTTTTCAGCCCGTTATCACCTCTTGATATAAAATTCCATAATGATTAGGCACTTTTGTTTCTGATCTAGAAAAAGCACTTTGGGGGCCTTCACAGTTGCTTCCTGAGTTCTGGGAGCTGGGAGTTGGACAGGAAGCCCAGGCTGGTTTGTGTCCCACCCCCACGTCCCACTGAGGTGTCCTGCTCGTTCGCCCCTTTGTGATCCCACGTCCATCCCATTAGCTGGTGAACACGGGACGTCTGATGCAGGAGTAGAGTCGTTTTGCCTCAAGATGAGCAGCCTGATGATCAAGTAGTTTACGCGATGTGGGTTGGAGGGGTGTGAGTCTACACGGTAGGAAGACAGTTGTCCCCTGCTTCCCGGTAAGAAAGTCTCCCTTCACGGGACAGGCTTTGCTCTTTCTAAGATCAGGTGGAAATCTCATCCACATGGAATGTCAGAGTGTGGAGGACATCCGGATGTTTTCTGAAGGTCAGTCTTGTCTGTCTTTTCATTGTTCCAGCTTCCTGGTTTCCAGGGGCATTTTAGCAGAAACCCAACATCTGACAGTTGAGACTGTAATGCTTTAAAGTTCAGTGAGTTCTCCGTAATCAATACACGAGCATGCATGCTAAGTCACTTCAGTCGTGTCCAACTCTTTGCAACCCCACCAGGATCCTCTGTCCATGGAATTCTCCAGGCAAGAATACTTGAGTGGATTGCCATGCCCTCCTCCAGGGAATTTTCCTAACCCAGGGATCGAACCTGTTTCTGCTGCAGTTTCTGCATTCCAGGTGGATTCTTTACTGCAGAGTCATCGGGAAAGCCAGTCAATACACAGTGTTGATCAATTAAATCTCCGATATTGCCAGGGTTTCCCCGGTGGTCCAGTGGTTAGGACTCGGAACTTCCAATGCAAGGGGGAGCAGGTTTGATCCCTGGTCAGGGAACTAGGAACCTACATGCCACACTGGGTGGCCAAAAATATATTTTAAAAATAAACAAAAAACCGTGATATTGCCATTACTAAAATTTAAAAAACATCCAAGAAAAACCTGTCGCCTTCTTTGGTTTTGCCTGAGTGATGGGCTTAATTTATGGCTGAACGAAAATACCCCAAGTACTCCACAAGTCCAGACAGGCTTTGGCCCCGTTCATCCGTGCCCCCTGCAGTGATGGGAAGGGTGAGTGAAGATGGGGTGGGTGGGTTTTGTTCTTTTCTCCTGATGGCTACAGAATTTTTCATCTGTCCATTTTATGCTGTTGAGAGGCAGCTGGCTTACTAGAGAGGCCTGCCAATGCCCCCGAATAACGGAAAGGCAAAGATCTGGAAGAGTTGGCAAAGTTCTCAACAAGGTAAACCGGTCAATGACAAGAAAACCACCCTTTGCAAAGAGATACGCTCCTCCTTACTTACCCACTCCTTATAATGTGCCTCTCAGGGATCTCTTCTTCCTACCGATCATTGTGCTGGGTGGGGCAGAGAGAGGCAGAGAAGAATTGGGATTAATTGGCCAGTGGGTCATTTCTAAAGGCACGTCTTAGGTGCCGCATCACCGGTAATGTGGAGAATATGCAGAGTGCTATCAGGAGAAAAGAGGGTATGTGTACAGTATGTAAAGTGCCTCTGAATACCATTAACTTCCCTTCCTAACTAGTGACTAGTAGATAACTGTGATCAGAAAAAGGATTGAGTGATTTATCAAGCCACTGCACACTGGCAGAGAAACTGGAGGTCAATCTGGAAACCCAGGGCAAGAGGGGCAGTAGGCGGTTGGCAGGGCTGAGAAGTTAATCATGCCCTTGGACCGCTTCCATCCATCTTGGAGCAACGGAGCTGCTGCAGAGTGAGCCAGGATGCTTTATAGCTGTAGATCGGGAATTAATATTTTCTGTGAAACCTCCAGCTTCATTTGCAGTAACTTGGGTTTTATAAAAATGGAGCATAATTTCATATGAATAAATCACATTCAGCTAGAAAGATGAGAAGCTGGCAGCGGGGAGGGGGGTGGACAGGGGAAAGATTGTGCTTAACTTTGGGGAAAAAAGAACAAGCAAGAAAGCCAACGTGAAAACAGTTGTTAAGGCCGTGGGGCTAGGAGGACATGAATGGCCGTATGGTTAAATTGTGCATGTAATCATCTTCTGAAATGTCATCCTGCGACTCCAGAAATGGCTCCATTTTTACAGCCTTGGAGACGCATCACCAGACTGTAACCTGGTCTGCCCATCTGGCGGTATCTCAGGTCCAAGATCCATTTATAGTGGAATCTCAACAACTGCCGTTGATTTATTCACTGGTGCCATGAGGCTCTATTGAAGTGCCTTGTGTGCGCAGCGGGCCCTGGGCTGATGCCAGCGGGCCGTGGGGAGGAGCAGCCTGTCACCTGCTCTCAGGGCCCCCCTGTCCAGAGTTCAGAGGTGCTGACTTTGTGAAGAGAAAGCCCTCATTAGCCTCATGCATCTGCTCGCCTCAGTCTTGCCCTTCCTCAAATAAATCTCACCCATCAACTCTCCTTTTTCCAT